ATCCATAACAACAAAATTAATTGGGAGTGATTTATCTTTCTTGGTGACATGCATCTCATAGTGGATGGTGACTTAGGTTTGATAAAATGCTGCATTATTGTTTAGAAGTTGGGAATCAGTCAGAAATTGAGGCACCGCCCCCCATGACAGCTCTCACTTCATTTCTTCTTGAAGGAATGTGGTTCTGCCTCCTGGAATCTCTGTTCTCCTCAGCTCAGCTTGAGGTTCTCCCCCACCCCAGGCAGAATAGCCTCCATTTTTGTTTATATATATATTTATAACATCATCCTTCATTTATGTACAATGTATGATTTCCCCATGGAATTCCCACCACCATTCACCCGCGCACCATCACCATAGTCCCTTGAGCTCTTCCCACCCCTGTCCTGATCCCTATCCCTCCTCCACCCCTACAGAATGTCTCTCGTCTATGTTTGCCTGTTGATTTTGATTTTGACTTTATTATAGTTATTTTTTCTTCCTGATCCCTTATTTAGTTTCTCTACATTCCTCCTATAAGTGAAACCATCCAATATTTTTCTTTCTGGCTTATTTCTCAGCTTAGGTCTTAAAGAAAGCACCCTTTTCTGTGAGGACCAAAGCCACACCTTCCCACAGGAGAGCAACTCACTCCAGCCCTTGCTTAAACCAGTTTGCTTCTCCAGTCAAAGTCTAGAGGAGGGTGTCCAGGCACTCACTCAGGCTCCAGGACATAGATGGACCCAGTCTCACTGCGCAGCTCCATGCTGCCACACCTTTTCTGCTGCTCTCCCCTCTGCCTGGAAGGTACTTCCTCACCGGCTGCCTCTTGTTCTGCTCACCTTCTAGCCATCTTACAAGCCTCAGCTGGGAGGGCTTTCCTGACATCCTGTGCCTCTTCACTTTCCAGGCCAAGTTCCCCTTCCTGGGGCCAACCCTCAAGATCTTGACTGCCCCTGGGCAGTTACTGTTATCAGATCTGCCTTTCATCCTCCTGTGAGCCCCAAGGAGAGGTGCACAGCCCAAAGCTTTGCCTGGAGCAAGGAGGCTGGGACAATGAAAGAAAAAATGTGGAAAAGAACAGGGGGTTTGGAGTGAGTTCCACCTGGATTTGAGACCCATTTGTACCCCTTTCCACCTGTCATTGCCACCTCACCAAGCCTCAGCCTGCTCTTTGGTGGACCGGTATTCACAGCCTGGTGTCTGACAGTATTTGTGAGATGATGCATGTGAAGAGTTAGGCACGTGGCATGTACTCAGATTCCCTGATTGGATGATCAAATGGTTTGCAATTGTCTCAAGTGCCTTCTCTCATGCAAGACTCTAAGTTTGAGGAGGCCAGGACGGTGCCTCCGATGTCCCTTCTAGCTCCCAGGCCCTGCTAGGCACATTAGAGGTGCCCACTCATGTGAACTGATTGGGAGTTCAAGTTACCAGTAGGGAGGGGGAGAAGAATCAAGTCAGAGGGTGCCAGGGGACCCCATGGGGAGTCCCAGCAATGGGAAGTCATGGCAGAACTGGCCCCGAGGGGAGGAAGTTGGTAAAGTGGCAGGCCCCAGGGGAGGAGAGAGAAGCTTGGGTGCTGGGAGGACTTTATCTGACCGACCTGAGTCCTACTCGGTCCCTCTGCAGAGAACATGATGAGTGCTTAATCAAAGTTTGTTCAGTAGTTCAGGGGCTTCCTGGTTAGACAGATGTGGTTCGGATTTCCAGTCCAGTTGTGGCCTGCAGCATGATGTAGCCTGACTGAGCCTCAGTTTTCTTATCTGTAAATTAGGAAATTAGTGTCTCCCATGTAGAGTTACCTGGAGGATCAAAGGGAATCATAAACTTTTGGTGATAAAGCCAGGCAGGGCCGTCTTTGCTCCTTTAGTAATCCTACAAGGCAGGCACTGTTACCTCTATTTTCCAAGTGGAGGGACTGAGGCCTGACTGTTAAGCCCCTGGCCCTGAGCACAAAGCCGGGTGGCCATGGAGCTAGGCCTTGAGTCCCGGAAATCACCTGCAGAGATTTCAACCACCCTCCAACTCGGGCCAGTGGGATGCTGCTGGTGCCACCTTCAGTGGAGGGGAGACTGGAGGGGAGACTGGGGAAGGGAAGCCTGAGCTGGGTTTGGCCAGGTGGGGTTGAGGGGCTGATACACTTATTTGAGTAGGGGGCACAGGTTCCATCTGGTATGATCACGCACCTCCAGGAATGGAGAAAGGCTGGCTATGGCGACAAGGCTGGACTGAGCCTGAGACCACACACCTAATAGGAGGTGGGCTTGCACCAATGGAAGCTCTTGTCAGGAACCACCCACCATGCCAAGGTGGGTCAGGGGTGAGCAGAGGGGGAGTGTCCACTGGAGGACAGCCTGGGGCTTTGAGGAGGCTCCATGGCCAGAAGGCCCGAGGCTTACCTGCCAGCTGCTGCTGCCCCTGTGCCCAGTCTCCTCCCTCACGTGCAATCCAGCCAGACTTCAGTGATGGTGGTGCAGGAGTCAGGCCCTCTGTTGCCATAACAACTGGATCCTGGCAGTAAAAATAGTAACTTATTTTTTATTCAACTTCTTTGTTCTTGGAGAAAAAGAAATCCATTTCTAGGCTTGTATTTCCATTTGGGGGGTCTCCTCTAAGGCTCTGCTAAGCCTGCTGCCAAGACCAGACTGAAGTCAACAGCAGGCTGGGGCTGGGAGGAGGCTATGGAGCCCAGAGCCGGAAGAGGTCTAGTCTTAAACCTGCCTCTCCCCTCAGCCTGCAGGACACCAAAGCCTGGCCTGGACTCCCTGGAAGAGAAGGCCAAGAGGGGGCCCCAGGGACTGGGGCTTTCACCTTTGCAAAGTCCACAGGGCCCTTTCTGGGAGTTGCAGGTGAGAGTGGAAGAGAACGTGTTGCTGGCCCCTGGGGACAGGTGTGTCCTGTTACTGTTGTTAGTGAGGCCTTGGTGGGGGCTGTGGTGGGGGCTTGGCTTAGCCTTGACTTCCAGCTCTAGGAGTCTCAGAAATCATTAGAATGAGAGTTATATGCAGGGCAAGAACTCAGAGCCCTGAGAACTGGGTTCCAGGACAGATCTGGCAGGCTGTGACCTGAGAGGGCCTCCTAGTCAGTTCCAGCTTCATTTTTCTACTCCATCCCAGGGGACAGGAGCCAAGGTCATTACAGCCATGAACCTTGCCCATATTTAACTATGACTCCCAGTAAGAAATATATTTTCCACCCAACCAGCACACACAAAGGTACACAAACTGGGACAAAAATCTTCTGAACATGACTTGTTTTCACAGTGCACAATGCACTCCGTCAAAAAATTTCATTTCTTTTTAAATCAGCCTACCACTTGGCTGACTTCAGGATCTTCTCAGAGAGATCTCCTCATAGAGCACTGTCTCACAAAACTTTCTGGGATGTTGGAAACGGTCCCAAAAGGTATCTGCTGGCCGCTGAGCTTGTTGAGCACTTGAAATGCGGCTCCTGTAACGGAGGAACTGCATTTAAAATTTCATTTCATTTTACTTACCCTGGAGGTAAATGGTATCACGAGACTGGTGCTACTATATTGAAAGCCCAAGCTGCAGTAGGCACGGAGGAGCAATTTGAAACCCATGGCTAAAAGGCATCCTCCCAGCTCAGGCCTCCCAGCTCCCGCTCTTGCCACTAGGCAGACGTCTCACTGGTGGGCTTCCTGCCCAGGGGTCCCTTGGGCCCACAACAGTCTGTCCCTTGGTGGTCCACTCAAGTCATCTCTAGCTCACCTGGGCAAAACCCAATTACAGTCTTATCTCCCCTCTCTATGCTTCTCCTGGTGCCACCCAAGGGGCACCAGTACCCATTCAGCAGGACCAGCCAGAAACCCGGGCATCATTCCTGACTGCTCTGTCCCTGTCAGCTTCCACTTCTGGTCCATCAACAGAGTCTGATAGATTTTACTTCTTAGGCACCCCTGGAGCTTCTCTCCTATACCCACCTCCAGCTCTCCCTTCCCCCAGCCACACTCCAACCCCGCACCCCAGTCCTGGGGTGGCCTCCAAGTGCATCTAGGTGTAATTCCGTGCTCTCCAATAACAGATGTGTGTGCCTGGCATTTGAAAGGCAGAAGTGAATTTAGATGGATTTCCCCTTGCTTTTCTCCATTACCTTGTTCCAGCTACCTTGGGCAGAGGGTGTGGGTGGGATTATTTTCTGAATGTGCTGTAGGATCTCAAATAAAGCATTGTTATAAAAAGTAGCAGGGAGCTGGAGCTTGGGAAGGGATGGTGGGAAGCCAGGAGGGGGAAGTGTTTGTGTGAGAAGGAGGGGCCCACCCTTCAATTTGGAGACAGGTCCAGTTGAAGGCTGTCTTGCCTCCAGAAGTCCCCAAGGCTGTCACCTCCTGCAGGGCCCAGAATCCTGGCCATGGTCTCCAGGAGTGGAAAGCTGAGTGTTGTAGACGGAGTCTGGTTGGCAGATACTGGGTACACTGAATCCTACAGCCAGATGCATGTGCCCCAGACCCTAGACTCTGACATGAGAGTCCCCAGAGTCACAGCCTCTGGGAGTGGGTGTATTCCCCAGACATCCGGTGGATCCCCTGGGGCCAGCTTGCCTCGCAGGAACTCAAAGGCTGGAGGCGCTGGCTGGGGGTAAGCACCAGCTGCAAGTATACTCAGGGGATGGCCAATGCCAGGGGGCTGAGGGGCAACGGGCGGGCAGTGTCCCCTCCCCTTCCAGCCCAGTCTGGGCGGGCTACGACGGCTCTGCTGCTCTAAAACCTGCGAGCAGAGTGGACACGGGAAGACAGAAAGAAGGGGCTGCGCTCAGAAGCCCCCAGCCCGCCTCCAAACCCCTCTCCTCCTTTCTCCCCTCCCCGCAGCGAGGGCCGCGGTGTCCGCCCAGCCGGGAGAGCGGGCCGGGGCGCCGGACTAAGGCGATTGGCCCGAGTCCCCCTCCCGCCCCGCCCCCGCCACCATCTGCTCGGAATCTGGCGGCGGCTGCTCGCGGCTCCAGGCTCCCCTCCCGCTCCGGCTTCGCGCCGCGCCCACCCCGCGCGCCCCCACCCCGCGCCCGCCTACCTGCTGCTCCCGCGCCGGGCGCCCCAGCCAGCCCGTCTCTCCAAGTTCCCGCTGTCTGAGCCCGGGGCTCGAGGCTGATGGAACCGCCAAGATGTTCGCTCCCAGGCTGCTGGATTTCCAGAAGACGAAGTACGCGAGGTGAGCCTCGGGGCGCTGGGCTTGCCAGGGGAGGGGAGGGGAGAGGAGGGGGGGTAGGCGGGTTGGGGGAGAGAGGGGTGGGTGAACCCTAGGTGAACCGGGCGGGGGGCGCAGGGGAACTGGGGGATGTGCTAGGAGAGCGGCAGGGTGCGCGCAGGGTGGGCGCGGGGTGGGCGCGGGGTGGGCGCTGGGGGCGCTGGGGGCGCGGAGCCTGAGTGCTCTGGGAGGAGCAGTCAAGGCTTCCTCGGGTCTGCACTGCCTGCTCGCTTCTCCGGCCGCCTGGAGAATTCCAGTTGATAAGAGGACCCCAACCTTGACCAGAAGAAACCAGAAGTATGCGCCCAGCTTTGCGCCCATACTCGGGTGTCGCGCTTATTCCCAGAGCCTCCTCTAAGCGGGGTGCCCTTAGGCGAGTCGCCTCCCATCTCTGAACCTCAGTGTCCAGGTCTGCAAAATGGGGATAATGAGAGTGCCCAAGAGGACTGAGATGGTCCTGGACAGCACTGCTAGGTGCCGGGAATGTGGCTCAGTCTCTGTTAGCTTGGTAGTGATGAAAGGCATTGGCACACACCACCCTTGGCACCCCCTCTCCCCGCTTCAGCCCCCTCACCCCTGTACCCTCCCTGTTCTCTTCCAGCATCCCTGCCCCCCACAGAACCATCCCTCACAACACCCCTGTTCTGGGTATCATCCGTGGTCCCCAAAACATCCTTGTTTGACCCCACCCTGTTTCCCCTTCCACACAGCCCCTGTCTCCCACCCTCAACACCCCCTCCTACCACACAGATGCATACCCCCGGCCCCACCACTGTCACCTCAACTTTGCCTCCACCACCCTGTGTCCCTTCAACATCTTTGCCTACCCCTTCCTCTGTTCCCCCTGCAACACCTATGCCCCTGTCTCTGTAACACCCTCCACCATCCCCATAGCAAGGCAGGAAGAATGAGCAATGCTCTTTTTAGGAAGTGAAACTGAGGCTCAGGACCCTGGAAGAGCTGCTTTTGCACAGTGTGAGGTCCTTGGTCCCGTCCCCTCCCCCACCCCAGACTCAGTTCTCCTAATATGGTGATGACACAGTGGTGCCAGACTGCTGAGCAGAAGGCCAGCTCCTGTGGCTTGGTTCCCAATTAAGGGAAGGGGGAGGGGGGAGTGGCTCACAATTACTAAATTTCTCTAAGGTTTTGGGGGGAGGGTATGCCTGAAAGCTGGTGTGGAAATCCTTCCTGAAGTTGTCCCCCAGCCTCCCGGGGATTTGGGGGAGGCTGGAGGTTCTGGGAGTACAGTCTCCTGAGTCTCTCCCTCCTGCACCTGCTTCACAGAGGGCAGTTGATGGAGGGGGGCACCAGCCTACTCTGCCCCAATTCTTTCTGACCCTCCCTGCTCAAATCACTTGCCTCCACCGGTAAGGGGAGCCGGTGGTGAATTTGAGAAGGGTTTAATGAGAAGATAACATTTTTGATGTCCACATCCGTGTGGCTTATTGACTTTGGGAAGTTGTTGAGGTGCCCCAGTTCCATGAAATCTGGGCAGGTAGTGGTCAAACAGAGCACACTTGACCAAAAGAGGTGCTGGGCTGAGCGTGGGGTCTTTCCCTCACCATCTCCTCCCAGGGAGGAGTGTCTCACCAAGCTGGGGAGTCCCACTGGAAGGGGATGCAAATCCACAGGGTCTTTCCTGGTGTGGCACTTGGACTTTCTGAGGCTTGTTCTCAAGCTTTAGAGATGTAGGTTGGTAGAGTGTTCTCCTGGAAGGGAAGGGAGAGTCCAGGGTTTGAGGCTATAGCTGCAGACACAGGGGAAGGAATTCTGAAGCCTTTGCACAAAATAGGCCTTTGTCCCACGCCTGCTGTGTGATCTTGGGTAGTTGTCTCGACCTCTCTGGGCTTCAGCTGGTTCATCTATAAAGACAGAGGCAATGGTATAAATGATCTCTAGGTTTAGACACTGGTGCTACCCTCACTGTAACTGGAATAGAGTTCTCCAGCTGGGCTGGGGGCTGGACTGTGAGTTTCTTCTTTCATTTTTGTGCTTATGCAGCATCTGTGGGTGATGAGTCCAGTGAGGAAATGGAGCACATTGATTAGAACTATTTCTGTTCCTTTCCACATCGTGAGGCCCTTACTAGTGTTCAAGCCACAAATTAGGTCCTTAATAAAGCCTTCTTGATTGAGTAAATTTAATAGTATAACCCAGTGCTATCCAATGGAACTACCATACAAGCCACAGATGTGGTTTTAAATTTTCTTTTATGCACATGGTAACTATGCTTATATTTTTCAAGGACAACAACTTATTTTCAAAAACTACACAGAATACTTTATATATTTATCAGTTATCAGCAGACACAACTTATATATCACACCAGGTCTGAAAAGTATAGAATTCTAATAAAATATACATAGATGCTGACCTTTTGGTGACTTAAGTCTTCCACAATCTTTGCATGTTTTTCTTTGACACAAACAGATGATCATATAGATTATATGTATACATATATAGACTACAACTACATCACATGTATTTATAAATGAACATTCTTGGTTATATTTAATGTAATATTATACCAGCAAACTTGACCTTAACTTTCACAAAATCATTAACTGAACTTTCTAGGAAGAAACTACTAAAATTTCCAGTAGCCATTCAGTTTAATGTGTAGCTAATATTCCATCTCTTTGCCATAAAAAAGGTAAAAAGAAATAGATGAAATTAAATTTAAGAATATAGTTAACCCTTTACATCCAAAGCGTTAGCATTTCAACATGTAATCAGTAGAAACAAAATATTCTTGAACTATTTTACATTTTTGTACCATAGGTGTTTGAAATATAGTGCATATTTTATTTACAGCCCATCTTAATTTGGACTAGCTGTATTTCAGGTGCTCAGTAGCCCATATCTACTCATTTGTATGAAATTGTCCAGTATTTGTCTTTATCTTCCTGACTTGCTTTGCTAGGCATACTTCCCTTATGCTCCTTTCATTTTGCTGTAAATGGGGGATTAAAAATGTTAAAGTGAAATAAAACACAATAACTTAAAAACTTTTAGAAAATATAAAAGAATATAGTCTTCAGAGTTGGTAAATATTTCTAGAAGCCCAAAAAGTTAAAATCCTAAAAAAAGAGATTGCTAAACCAGACTACATTAAAATGATGAATTTCTATTTAGGAAAAATAATACCATGAAGAAAATAGAAGACAAGTCACAAACTTGAATATGTGCAACATATTTAGCCAGCAAGAAGTTAATAACCAGAATACATTGTTAGAACTACAATACAAAAAGACAACCTAATAGAAAATGCCAAGAGAGTTGTTTTGAGGAACAGAGAACACAAATGAGCCATGGCATGTGAAAAGTTGCCTCTCATTGGTCATCAAGGAAATGCAAAATAAGAACACAATGAGACACTGTTCTGATGGTCAATATATAATAAGTCTGGTAGTATTATTACAACTCCTCTGGAAAACAGAAATTATCCCTTAAACTTGGACACATGTATCCAAGACACAGCCATTCTTTTCTGGGTGTCTACACTAGAGAAACTTGCACAAGTGTGCGCCAAGGGCAATGGAGAAGAATTTTCTCCACAGTGTTGTCTGTGGTGAGCAAGACCTGGGGACAACCCCAACATCTGTCGTGGATGGAATGGTGCATGTTCATACAACAGAATAGCATCCTACAGTGAAAATAAACTCCAGTTCCAGGCAACACTATGGAAAAATCTCATAGACATGTTGAGGGATAGCAAAACACAAAAGAAAATCTGAACCTACTCCCTTACCACCCAAAACCAGTCCCACAACTATGTTGTTTAGAATATAGAGGAAAGCGTGTTAAAAGCCAGAAAATGATTATAACAGTCAGGTCAGTGGTTTCCTCTAAAGAAGGGGCATGAAGGACACACAGGCTGGATTCTATGCATCCTAGAAGATAGCACATGGACCACGTTCTCTGGGCAAGACTATCATGGCCACATCTTGCCACAAGGGAGGCTGGGAAGTGTGGTCCGGTTATGTCTACCCATGCTGCCTCCCCCAGTCACACCAGCGCCTGGCATCTGAGTAGGTACCAGTCAAAATCAAATGAATACTGGCTGTGTGACTTAGATAAGCAAATTCACCTCTGAAGACATTGGTCCCCTCTTCTGTTCAAAGCAGTGTGACTTTAAGTGGGGAGGGGTCATACAAAGCAACTTTATGGTCATAAACACTGCCTGTGCACCCTGGAGAAAAATTTTAAATAATGGGAAGTAGGTATAAAAATGAGGGCAACAGTCACCTTATTCCCACCACCCCAGATTCATCTGTTAAATAGTCTAACTTACTCATTTCCATTTTTTTCCCCCCATAGAGCATTGTATCCCAATTCAGGAACCTTAAGCGGCTGTAATCCCAACCCCCAGTCTCTAATAGTGACCTGCAACCTTGGTTTAACATGTGCCTAAGGCTCCAGCATCGTGTCCTGCTTTATATTGTTATTTCCCACGTTTGGACACTTAGATTGTTTCCCAAATTCTGTTTCTTTAAATAACGCTGCCCAGGATGTTTCTTCAGCAGTGTTCAGGAGAATTCTGTGTGTGGACACCTGCCCCATTGTCAATTCTGGGTATTAGCCAAGTCCCTTCGGCCACAGGGCTGTGTGGTGCTCACCAATGGCCAGTCCGTGACCAGTGACCAGTCGAGGGCCCCCACTGGCAATGGCCCCACTAGGCTGTGGACTCAGAGTGACTCCTACAGCCCCACAAAAGCTGAGGCCCCAGCTGGGTGCACAGTGGTGTCCTTGGGAAGCGGGAGGGGCTTGGAGCTGCCTTCTGACTCTGCCTTCTCTCCACTGGGTTTCTTGGGTAAGGGACTTCTTCACCAGGCCTTGCTTCCCTCCTGGCTCATGAGGCTAACGGGGGTGGTGGGGGATGTGGTGACCCTGGGAGGCCTTCCCTAGGTTTTGCCCCTCACCTGCTACCTGACATCCCTTCAGAGCCACTTAGAATCAGTCCT